TCATAGGACCTGCATAATTCTGACTGACAAACAAACAGATCAACAAAATTTATAGATGTGCCGGCTCAGGGCAATTAAGGCATGGATCTTGGAAAAATTATAGCGAGTATTCACCAAATTTATTCTAAAAATTTGGCCTTTCAATAGAATTCCATCAAACTTGGCAAGTATCTCTACTTTGGTAAGTACTGCATTTTTAGGGCTTTTGTTTTCATGGAAACGATATCACGTGACTTCGGGCGGCCATCTTGGATTTTTCTTTTGAGGCTCTTGAAAAATATCACTGACACCAATATTCGCTAATTTTCCCGAGARCCATGCCTTAATTGCCCTCTAACTCCTTTCAAAATTTCTGGATCCATTCCTGGTCATCCTAACTTTTTGGTGATAATAACTGCAGGCAGAAAACTCTAAATGCAAGTGACATCCTAAGATGTTTCATTAAGCACGTTAAATAAGAACGCGAGCCTGAACTCAAAACTTGGTGATCTTACTGCACCATACTGAACCGACAAGACCTACAAATAAAGAAATATTTTGTTTGCTGGACATCAATATGGTCGCTGTGACATGAAATCCATGAGCATTCAGAAAGTTTTAACAACCCAGTGATCGGTAGTGTGAGTTCAWTTGTGACTACCCAATTGAGCATATAAATTCAACTTTATTCAAATTGTAGAATAACAATCGAGCTTTGATATTTTTATTTGTTAATTTTTCCTTAACATTRTATTATAATTTCATGCTTTTTTTGTCTATAAAAGCTCAATTTCTTGGTCAATAATGTTTTCCATGGTCATCCACTTTATATTCTATTTCTTGTTCATTGATTATCGGAAGTTTGGAAATATTCTTCTATTCTCTTCTCTAAACGCTGTTCATCTGTATTGACGGCATTTTTTCGAGCTTCTTCCTGGAATCATATAAAAAGTAGTATTGTGACGATTAGAAATTTTGTCCACTTGAAAAGTACTTCGCGACTAGAGGTAAATAGGTAGTACCATTTCCAGTTCTACACCCAATCTAAACACTTTTTTTTATTTCAAAATGAACTTACCCAAGATTTTGTCAGATCATAAAAGTCATTATCGTCGTTTGTRCGCTGTTGAGATAATAGAATTATCAGATGGTGTGCATAAAACATGGAGTCCTACATGGACTCAGTGCTTAAAGGGCATCTGAGCTGAATTAATTCGACCCACTCTTGGCCGATCGATTGTCCGATTGGCCGATTGCGCAAAAGCCGTTTCGCTATAATATCTGCAAGTTTTAGTTTATTTTTTAGCAATGCATTTCCAAATAGGATATTACCACATTAACCTCTTAACGAATGAGGCCATTTAGTATTATTATTTTGCACAGTACATCGTACTAACAGCCTTGGAACATTTCCACGAGCTCAATTTTCAGCGACTTTTTGAATTGGATAACAATTGTACTCGATCTATGATATCACTGTAAATTATACAAAGCACAAATTTCATCATTGAATGAATTAAAGGCTCAGAAAAAAACCCGAAAGCTATTTAAAAAACATTGCGATCAATGTTTTGATTGAATCGTTTCTATGGCATTTCAGTTTAAGTAGACCCAAAGTGTTTAGAAAATTTGGTACTCGTTTGAGAATTAAATGACAATTCCTAGTTGAGAGAAGTGGCAAAATAAAAATACATAGCACGTTCGTGAGTTTTCGTTCTTTRCTATTTCTTCATTTATTTCTTTACTTTTAAATTATTATTTTTTCATTTTTTTTTTTTTTTTTCATTTAATTTATGCAGCCATTGTGAGACCGAGAAAATTATCAACCATTAGTGAGAATTTAACAATATTATGATGTCAATTTTTAATTTTGTTTTTCATATAGGAAAAACTTGTGACAGAAAACAGGTAGTTTCTCGTGGCATGTCCTCTAATCTACCAGTGACGCTATCTCATTATCAAAATTATTATTTATTCACTGGATTTCTTCTCGTTGATGAATTACAATTTAGACGATTCAGTAAAAAAGGGGAGACATCACGAAAAACGGTATAAATTTGTTAAATAGAAGGTAAAACAAATCTTTTTGACATAATTTGATTTATGGGTAATCATATGTTCAACGGAATATCACATATCGATACGTATACGGCCGATTTTATCGTCTCGCTATACTCTCACTCGTGAGAGATCTTTTCAACACTCGAAGATAACACCYTTATATATCTGCGCGTCCAGGTAATACCCTGTATTTATTATATAATTTATTATGAAATACCAGTGTATCTTTCGCGCGAAAAACTGATAACAAGTTACCATTAAATAAAGATATATTTAAACTTTTGCTGCGGTTTTGTGTTTATGATAATTGATATAATAAACAGAATATTACATGGGCGCTTGGAGATACGAATTTTATCTTCGAGTGTTCAATTGATGTCTCGCTCGTTCGCTACGCTAACTCGTTCGATAACAGTTGAACACTCGAAGATATTTCTTTCAAATAACCCTTCTTTTTTCTCTGAAACAAATTTATGACTTGAATTGCAGTGCAAATCGCAAAGCCATGACTACCTGCAATGTTTGTATTTTTCATTGACCAGTCGGAAGAGAGTGAAGAGGAATCATCGTCATCTAATGCATTTTCACGTGCAAATTTCATCAAAACTTCAAAGTTACAAATATWAAAAACTAGTTTATAGCCCAAGATGACCTGTAAAAGCTGGGAACGTATACGATTTCATTGTTCGGAATAGATAAATACCAATGCCTTTGATAGGTGGGAACTAGCGGTAAACTAGTGTGAGCTGCGTCGGTGTTTCTAAAGAAACAGTTGTGTAAAGAAGATAAGTTTAACACCGTAAAAAAGTATGGGAAATAACTTACTGACGTTTCGGATGTTAATCCTCCGACGAAGGATTAACATCCGAAACGTCAGTAAGTTATTTCCCATACTTTTTTACGGTGTTAAACTTATCTTCTTTACACAAATGCCTTTGATACATGTTTTCACATCTTGCTTTCTTGAATGTCAGAGTAAAAGTCATTTCTATAAAAAAGGTTTTGGCCCGACTGCTGCTTTGTGACCGTCATTGAAATCCTCAAAAATATTCTAATCAARCCATAATTAATATGATCAAACTCAGTTCTTTGTTAACCTCTTTACTGACTACAACCTCTCGTATGATACTCAAGCGATTTGACTTTTAAGAAGGTCTGCTAGCGAGTTTCTATCTCKTCAATGATGATTTCGGAATGCACTAACAAAAGTGGTTGGAAGATAGCTTCAAACTTCGCCGTATACAATGARCCGTGGCAGAAGACGCTTAAAATTCATTTGAAGTAGAAATGTAACTTGTTAGATGGGTGATGATATTTCATCAACTTTCAATACACAGCGTTTTTTGCGGTTACAAATAATTATTTTTCTTTGCATCTCCTTAGATATTCTTCTCCAAATTTTTGTGAATGTATACTTAGCGAGAACTATAACAGCGACTTTTATTTTAAATTATCGTTGTTGTGTTTTCGTTAAAAATTTAAGAARTTATATCAGTTTTCGTCCATCCTAAATAAAATCTACAGAAGTCAGTTTAGTTAACTCTAGGGTTTTCCCAAAAATATTGGAGTCAATTCAAAAATAGATGAAATTAAATGAGATACTTATAGAAAAGTTGCCAATATATGAAAACATTTCTGTGCTTTTGCTACATGTAATTCAAATTTGCGTTTTCCAAACTAATTCGACGTTGATCTTTAATTAAATCCTTCAACAGTTTTGTCATTCACTCAGCTTAAGGAGTTAGTAAGCGTTTTTATCAGATTGTCCAATATGTTACTTTTTAGCTGATGAAGTAAGCTAGTAAAACTGTCCGCTATATCAATATCTGGTGACCAAAAMGACCACTAAATCGAACCATGTTCTAAAGTAGCGTATAGAGTCATCGATAAAATGGTATATAGCCACTCCTACATACAAGTTCAAAATCGCCTCCCAGTTA